ATTTTTTTTGCAAGTTGGTAAGGGAGAACAGTCTTCATCACATTTTTATAGGTAAATCAAAGGACAGTTGAATAACAGAAAATGTACCGGCATAATGAATGTTAAATAAAGATGTAAAAGGGCAAGATTTATTCATTCCATAATATTGCTCACACTCCAAAAAGTTTACGCCCCAACATTCCCAGATTTACAGTTTAAATTGTTAGTTTTTCTGCAAAATTACCATGAAATTACTTACACAGTTCTTACATTTACATGCAGTTTAATTAGTTCTTTGTATCTAAAAACCTGACTTGTTACACCCTTATTCTAGTATGTATTTGTAGGTAAATATAATTACATTATAATTTCAAATAATTATACATTGAAATTCCATTTATTTACAGGAGAATTACATCTTTGGGCCCCTTGGTGGTGGTATTATAACGTGTTACCGAACTTCTATTAAAGTTTTAAGTCTTTATACAAAAAGTAAGGTTTTAAAACACTTTTTTCCTCAGGATTCTTTAAGTGCCATGTCCCTGCCTAAACATACACTAGTGTAATATAATGCTTTCAAAATCTCTCACTCATGTTTTAGGATATATGGGTTACTTTCTTTGCTTTAATTAATCTTTGCTGACCTTTGCAGAGAAAACCTTCTTCAAAGATAAAAGGAGCTGGACAGAAACCCCAAGACCATGTTCAGAGAAGTTTCCTATATCCACATCCAGTGCATTCTCTGCGTTCCCTGTGTCATCATCCCCCAGGAAGAATAGCAAGTCTTTAGTTGATGCTCCAAGCCATCATGAGAGTGTGTGTCCAAGTACTAAAGAAGATCAGCTCCACTCCAGAAAGCAGATTCAAAGACCATCTGTTTTGCCAGTACTCCCCACTATCCGTCAGAAGCCTTCAAAACCATTTCAGGGACAGAATTCAACCAAAGAGTATATCTGCTCTCTGGCTGATTTTCATTACCATAATAAAGACACACATAGCTCACCAGCTGACCAGAGCTTGGGGTCAGTTAGCACCAACAAAGGGCCAACACCACAAAAGGATCTGGGCCTACAAAATTTAAAAGCAAAGCCCGGACCATCTGTGATACAAGTTCCTTACAGACCTAAAGGAGGGTATATAGTAGATCCAGAACTAGAGCCAAAGAGAGGCAGGGCAGGGCCTTTTACAAATAGGGGGGCCTTGCTTTCTGGCAGAAAGAGCAATGTGCTGGACGGCCTAAATGCCTGGAACAATCCTGAGTTGTTATTCGTCAGTCAGTCAGTCAGTCCTCTGAGGAGCATCCATTCTCCCCTGGTTGAGGTGTCTTTACCAAGAGGGATTGACGTGACTTCAGTGTAGCAACTTACATGGCCTTACCTTGTGTATTAAATATGATGCATTCAGTGATGCAGGTGTTTACATCTTCCTTTCTTCAACTATATTTCTTTGTCATATCATACTATTTTTTCCTCCCAGATTACAACCTCTGAGTTTTTATGCAAGTCATCCTTCAGCTTTTTCTGAATTATTTCCCTGTGTGTAAAAATGTTTACAATTTCGAATTCACCTGCAAAACATGCCTTTATTTTAAACTCTAAGAACTTTATTGTGATTGTAGTTATACAATGGAATTTGTTTGGTAGCTCACAGAGGCTAGCAGCAATAAAACAAGAAGCAGCATTGTAACATAATAACCAAGTAAACGTAGTAAAAGTATAAAATATAAAGTAAAAAGAAGGCACTTAGCACAGTAAATAAAAAAAAATAAATAAAAAAAACTACTACTATTTACAATATGATTTGATATGATATTTGAGTGCAAACAGTATAATATAATATAACAGTATTTACAATGTGGTAATTTAGTGCAAACATTAATGCCCAGTAAA